AAAAAAAAAAAAAAAGAATTACTAGAGCAACAGTGATTTTTTAACTGAGCTCATCACTTGGTTTATTTGGAAAGTAATGTGCAGTGTGAGATAGATGGCTTCTATTGTGGGTATTTGTGCAAATATGTGTTTGCATGTGTATGCATGTGTGTATGTGTGTGAGAGGAAGAAATGAAGTAGAGCTATTAAAATATAGTTGGGAGGGATAGTGCTAGAAAATACTATACCCAGAATGTTAAACTATATTATTGTATTTACTATTATAATTTACTTTTCAAAAAGGGCTTCACTTGGCTTTAATTCTCTATGGTTATAGTTCTAAATCATTTTTGTTCATTTCAGGCATTTTTCTATAATATTTTCTGGTTTGGAGCCCTTGGAGTCATTCTCTGATTATTACCAGGAGGCTGTCTTACTAAGAGTTGGGACGATTTTATATCCACATTTCTTCAGGTCTATAATCTTTTCTCCTTCACTTCAAGTGTGTCAGAATTTCCCAGTCTTTTCCCACACACGCACACAGACAGTAGGTGAAGGTTAATAGTCACTGACATGCTGGATTATGATATTGTGGTTTAGAATTTTAGTGAAATAGTCCCAAGGGAGTGATTGATACATAGATTTAGATGGTATATAGGTACATAGTTGAATGATATTTCGTAGGTCATTGTTTAGGTATGAGACATTTTTTATCCTGAAATTACACTTGAAATTGCTGTGCTATTTATAACTGTCAGGGAGGGACTGTCCTTGTCCTCTCACTGTGTCCCACGGAGAGCAGCTTTGTCACAGGGGAGAGAACAGCAGGCCTCGCTGTCGTGGAGATCTGGTCACTCTCCTGAGTAGCTCACTCACAGTGTGTAAAATTCTTGGTGAATATGAGCTTGCTTGGACTTGATTGAGAATGATTTTCACTTGTGTTTTCCATTCTGTGCCAATTTTTGAATATTAATACATTCTACATAGGAATATTCTAAACCATTCAATGTATTCTCCCACCAAGGAAAATCAAACAACCAACACCCCCCACCCTCCACAAAAAAAGGAAAGAGGTGAAAGAGCAAAAATAAATGTAGAACCAATTGTGTCCTGGGCATCACATCCAAATCATATTCTCTTTTTGTTGTTGTTGTTGTTGCTTTCATATTAAATTCATTGTTTCTTTCTGCAAAATAATGATCAATATTTTTCTACATAACAGGTAAACTTTCATATGTTAATCCTTGGGGTGAACTCTCTATTTTAAACAGCTGTTTACAGAAAGAAGAGTTTTAATCAGTGACATCAGTTTTAAGAGGAGAATCACTGTACTTTAAACAGTCTTCCATGTAATACATGGGGCATCCAGGTATTCTGTTTGATTCAGTTACCTGAAGACAGATTTCATGTAACTTGTGTTCGATGTTTTGTCTCAC